CACGAGAGGAGGGCCTGAGGAGCACGAGAGCGGGCAGGGAACATGGCAGCAGAAGGGGGCGGGGGCAGGGGAGGGGGCCCGGTGGAGGGAGGGCGAGGCTAGGGAGCAAGACGGATGGAGGGGGGGAGAGGAGGAAGAGGAGCGACTGTCGCTTCAAGCAGGAAGAGGGCGAGGAACGAGCATGGGACCACTGACGAAGTCAGCCAGACAGGAGGGGGATGAGAAGCATGAGGAGGAGGAGGAGGAGGAGGAGGAGGAGGAGGAGGAGGAGGATGGGGAGGAGGCGGAGGAGGAGGAGGAAGAGGAGCAGGAGAAGGATTAGGATCGGGAGGGGAAGGATGACATGGGGGGGGGAGGGGCAGGGGGAGCAGCAGGGGGGGGGGACTGGGGAGAGCTTGACGAACGCCCTGCCCTTCTCCGTCTCCCCCCTTCTTCTCCCCTCTCCCCCTCCTCCCCTTCCTTATTCCACTCTTCGTCCTGGCCCTCCTCGTCCTTCTCATTCTCCTCCTCGCGCTCCTCCTTTCCCTCCACCCCTCTCTGCCTTCGGTGCTTCGTTTCTGACGGGAACAAGCGCCACCCCGATGCCCGAAGTCTCGGGGCGGGGCCCTCGCGTTGCCTTCGGCCAGTGCTCCCGGGCTGTGCTCGGCCGATGCGGCCTGCGCGCAACGAGAAGGCTGCAGCACGTGCGCTCCAGAGCCGGGCAGAAACGCTTCGTTCGCTTGTGCCCCCCAGCGCTGCCGAGGGCACGGCTTCGGAGCAGCCATCCCAGGGATGGAGGCCTCCTGCTTCCTGAGTATCTCTCTGTCTCTCTCACTTTATTTGTTTGTTCTCTCTCTCTCTCTCTCTTTCTCTCTCGCTTTCTCTCTCTCTCTCTTTCTCTCTCTCTCTTTCTCTCCCTCTTTCACGACGACGACGACGATGGCCACCAGAACCACACGACGACGACGGCCACCAGAACCACCACCACCACCACCACCACCACCACCACCACCACCACCACCACCACCACCACCACCACCACCTCCCCGACGACGACGACGACGACGACGACGACGACGACGACGACAACGACGACGACGAGGCTGATGAGAAAGCCGACGCCGACCGTCCCAGCGCCGAAAAAAGCCTTGCCAAACATCCTCGTGCTCAGCCGACACCACCTTGCCAGGCGGGCGAAGTGGCTGAGCAAGAGAAGCAAAAGAGATACCGTCGAGGTCTAGATGAGGCCAGGACGGGAGCAGCCTGGCCGCGAGCTTCCAAACCTTCCTGGACGCAGAAATCAGCCTCTTGACGCTCCGCGGCTCTTCGCGGGACGGCTTCAAGTGCATAGCGACCTCAAGCTTGGTGGCCTGACTGGTCGCATCAAATGGGGGGGCACGCGAGCCTGCACTTTGCGAAGGAAAGTGTTACCTTCGCTCGCATCGCGTGGGTCATGAGGCCTGCGTGGGGCCTTTTTTTTTGCAGTAGTGCTGCTCAAATCAAACTCGAGGCTGGGTGCAGGCCTCGGACTCCGCAGTCTGCGAGGTCTGAAGGACATGTTGCCTGAGATGGGCACACATCCTACCTCAGAGCTCTTCCCGGGAACCAGGGTCTGCTAGGCCCCGACCTGCCCTGATCAATTCCACATTTCTGCGTTGTCACAGGAATCGCCCGCGAACGCCTTCCCAGACAACATCAGGCTACATATTTTCCCATCAGGCCGTCCGTCCACACTACCTCATGAATGGAACCTGCGTCAAGCCATGGAGACATACATGTGGTGAGCAAGGTTAGCTTCTCCAGCTCCTCGACAGTGGCCGGAGCTGGGTCGACACCTGCGGAAACATCCAAGACGCCCTTATGGTCGAGCTACCGCCCGAGATCGTGCGAACGGTAAATCATAGAGTCCGACGGCCCCCCACCCCCCGCAAAACTGACTTCGGACTTCTGGGAGCTGGCGTCGGCATCCCTGAGCCCTCTTGCAGGGCCCACACCGCCCCGCAAACCAAAGTTTCGAGTGACCTCTTCTCGGACGGCGCGCACTCTTAGAACTCTGTGTTTTAGCCTAAGTTGCCCACCAGAAGCGCGGCAAATAAGAAGGAGTGGCAGTCTCGCGCACACGCACACAGGTCAGTTTGGACGGTGGTGCGAGAGTAGGTACATTCGGACCTAGGCCAACATAACATCCTTCAGGCACTTGGAACCCTCCGCCAGCGAAAGCACCCCCAAAACCTGAGATCACCCGAGGGCACAAGTCCCCTCAGGATGCACGAGAACATCCAGCAAACACAAAGAAGATTAGGGCCCCCTCCCCGAACCTGACCACGTGGACGACGAGGGGGCCCCGGCCAGCACGTCGAAGTCATGACGAACGACGAATGCCTAGCACGTCGCCATTGTGCCGTCGTCCGCCAGGAAGCACCACGCGAAGGACAGCGAGGCAAGGCGCAAACGTCACGCACGGCGTACCGTAGGTGGGGTGGTGTCGTGCACTTCTTCTGGCCGAGTGCTGTCACAACGAGGCCACGCAAAAGACTGGGCCCACCCGACCCCGACAGGCGGGAGGGGGGGGGGCGCGCCGAACGCGAAGGAGGAGGAGGAGCAGGAGGAGGAGGAGGAGGAGGAGGAGGAGGAGGAGCACGAGGAGGAGCACGAGGAGGATGAGGATGAGGAGGATGAGGATGAGGATGAGGAGGAGGAGGAGGAGGAGGAGAAGGAGGAGCAGGAGGAGGGGGAGAAGCAAGAGCAGGAGCAGGAACAGGAGGAGGAGGAGGAGGAGGAAAACCAGCCGCCGGGCTTTCGGCGAACCCCACGACCCTAGCCTGTTGACGACCTCTGGCCTGTTCTCACGGGTATTGGACATGTACTCCTGAGTCCTGTCCCAATTGATCATCCGACGGCGCCGGATGTATAGCGAGTCACGGAAATCGTCGTGGCGGGTATATCCAGGGTTGAACCGCGGGGTTTTGTGCCAATCATACCAGCAAGGTAGTTGTTCAAGCAGCTCACTATAAAACATAAACCAACGTAGGCTCTGCATTGCAAATATTGAAGATGGTCTGCCCAAGAGCATTTGCTGAAATCATATGACAAATCTGCTGTGGGCAATCTCGTCCAACACCCTTTTTTTCCTTCCTTCACGCGGTGTATCCGTTTTGACCCTGCGTGCGCCCAGTGCACGAGTCGGTATCAAATAACTCCATGCGGGTCACATGCGCGCGTCGCCACGCGCGCGTGTTGGATTCCGTCCAAAATTAACAATGCTTGACGAATTTCAGAGTCGAGCTCTCCAAACACGTACGCACAAATCCTAGTTGAGTTGACCGGAATTCGGCCCGGTTGTATTTCCATGCGCGCGCACTTCCTCAAAATCGCCCTCATCTTTGCCACAGCGCCGCAGCCGTTATCGTCATCGCCAATCGCCGCCATTGCGGCCATCATTACGGAATAGCCTTCATCACCGACACATGGACACCATCATCATTGTCATCGTCGTCACCAACAACGGCGCGGCCACTGGCATTATCGTGGCCATCGTCATGATCACCACCACCACTGCTACTAGAATCAGCATCATAATCATCGCCATCACCGTTACCACCATCAACATCATCGTCGTCACCATCATCATCACCAGAATCATCATACAGCAATCATCGTTGTCGCCTTTGTCGACGTCATCATGATACCGCGCCCGCCCAGGTCACCGACGTACACTGAATCGCCCGCGCGCCAGCGCGGCCTTCGTGACGCGCTGGGAAGTTC